AAAAGCCCCCCCCCCCCCCACATCTTTCCTTTTCTTCCAAATCCATTTTTCTCAATTAAATTCACAGATTCCTCACTTAAAATTTACCAGTTTTTCTTCCCACAGCTTAAGGTACTTGTCAAATTAAACTGTTTATCCCAAAGAACCTTTTCTTTAGGAGTCATGCCAGCTAGCCATATCACGTCATAGCTCTCTCTTTAGCTTCACCATTATTGTTTTTTATATATTCTAAGTAGTCTTAGACCGGAATCAGTTCAGCCTTCAACAAAGCGGAAAGCTTAAAGAAGAGATGAACCCTCTGCTCATCCCCCTACTTAATGTCAAGCTTTTTGTAGGGCAAGCTCTGGTCACTTTTGATCCCCATGAAATTATAATAATGCAATATCTTTGTTAGGATCATTTTACTAAGTACGTGGATATTTTTCTTAGGGATCAACTTGGGTAGTAACTGTTGCTAAACTCAGAATATTTCATCTTAACCACAAAGCGGGCTGTTTTCCATTTTAGGTGCTAAAGGAGATGTGGGCTCTCCAGGAAGTCCTGGAAGTCCTGGAATTCCTGGTATAAAGGGAGACATTGGATTCGTTGGCCCACAAGGTCCCCCAGGCCAACCAGGCACTCCTGGGTTACCAGGGAAGGCTGGTGAGGGACCCAAGGGTGACCGGGGACCCCAAGGGCAACCTGGGCTTCAAGGTAAGGTATTTATCCATTCTAGACAAACTGGCCATCCATAAAGTGACTATTTTATTTTTAAATAAGCTTGTCTGAATCTTTATAAATACTCCTTTATAAATACTACCTTAGAGAAGAAGCAGGATTTTTTTTTTATGGTCACAGTGAAGCTATAGATAATTTCTCTGTTATAGCATTTTTGTTTATTACGAATTCATGAATAATAAAACCCAGATGACTGAAACATTAGTATTTATCATTCCCAAGTACAGTCTTTGTTTTAAGGAGGGTAATAACAAGCCATACCCAAACTTGTTTTCTTGCAAAATAAATCTGGTCAAGAAATACTTTTTTCTGTGTCTGCTTTAGGGCTTCCTGGGCCTCAAGGATCTCCAGGGGTTCCAGGATTACCAGGAGGAAAAGGAGAAAAAGGAAGCCCAGGTTGGCCAGGAACATCTGGGAAACCTGGACCCAAAGGTGACCTGGGATTTCCAGGAATCCCAGTAAGTTAATGTTAGAGCAATGACTGATTTCTCTCCAGTAGCTACACGTAACAATGTAATTGCACAAGTAGTTCCTTATTTTCAGTTAATGGGTTTATACATTTTCTTTCAGAGCAAGATACTCTGAGTCAGGCTGATAATACCTAAAAAACATATATTTCACCAAAGCTAAAACTTTTCACAGATGCAGAGACCGTTCACATGCACACATGGCATAGAAAAAACCTAGGGTAGGATGGAGTCATATGACAAGGCTTTTGTTCCTTGTCCTTTGCTTTGGAATGGTTTCACTTTTTCACTGACAGAAAAGGCCTTCAGAAAGAACAATTCACAGAGGATCATGAGCAGCCCTAAGGATTATTTTTCTCACCTATTGCTTGCTTTGACCTGTAGGACAGACAGATCATATATTTTCTTCCTTTCTTTGCCTTATTCTTAATCAAGTCAGAGATTCCATCAGTGATGGAAGGAACTTGGTAGAATGCAGAAGAATCTGCAGACTTTCCCAGCTTTATTTATCAAGGAACACACACAAATTAAATTAATCATCTAGCTTTCATATCAAGGAAAGCAAATTTGAATGCCTACATAAAAGTATTGAGGAGGTCCTTCCACAGGACCAGGCAAGCCACTTCCTGGTCTTTGAAAGAATATTGTCACTGGAACAGAAAACTCTGACTCAGCCTGAATCCCTTTATCAACTGTTTGATAAACATCATTTCTTCACAGAGACAGTAATGGATCACATCATTGTACTATTAAGGATTCTCCTGTGGTTTCATTTACTTTATTGAGAGGGGGGAACAGAAACTCACCAACAGTAAATACATTCTGTCAGCATGAAAAGAAGTACTTTAAGATTCCAGCAGCTTCATTCTGAGCCTCAATAGCTCATTTGGAGCCAATTACTTCTGAGTGAAAAATCATGGATCTCTTTACTGGTGGCTCTTCCTGCAGTTTTCCTTGGTTATTCACAAAATGGTCTATAAACATTACATTTAACGTTCCAACTGAGGAACTAAAGGCAATTATTTGTTACCAGTGACCCTGTTTGTTGGATTCCGCAAGCTCCCTTTGCTTCTGCTATCTCTTCCTTTTGCAAGCAGACACATCAATACATAATTTAAATCCATCTCCTCATTTTAGCAAGTGATTGCCTGGTGATGGAATTGCTTTTGGATAACGGATTTGATGTGAGGTTCTTCCAGTGAAGGAGAAAGAGCATTGGTGCTGCCTTCTCTTCAGTGGATGAAACGTTTGTAAGCCACCTCATAGCAGCCAGTTTGCTTGGCTGGGAGAGTTAAGAATCAAAGGGGTACTTCTAAGCTGCAAGGAATAGAGCTGAGTATTTTTGCATCTGAGTACTCATGTGCTATAGGATTTTCAGCCTTTTTCCTCCTTTCAGCAGAGCATATTATTAGCTACAGCATACATTTGGTTGAAGATCAAGCAGCATTTCCTTCTATTTTCTCCAAAATGAGATGACAGTTTAAGCCACTCTGCTCAGTTAAAAACACCTACGGCTTCCTTAGTTGGAGAAATTTCTCAATTTTCAGCTGTTTGGCAGATTTGGTAGGAGACTGCAAACTGGGATTGGCTCCATGGCATTTCTTCCTTTTACCTATCTTGTTTTGAGTGTTGATCTTAGTGGACAGGAATAACAGATAAGAAATAAAAGTGTAAAGGAATTTTTTAAAAAAACCAAAGAATAGAAAGAATAATAGTATTAAAAAGTGAAGAACATCATGGAGCTTAGGTTCAGAGCTGCTCATCCATCACCATCTTAAAACTCCCCCAGAATTTAAACTCAAGTTTAATTGTTAATTTCAAATTTCAGTTTGGGCTACCTGGAAATGACAGGTACTCCAAAATCCCCATAGAAATTCCTCATACTATGGTTAAAGAGGGTCTGTGGCAGCAAATGCTTTGTAGTTAATTAAGTGGCATGACAATATGTCTTCCAAATATCACATGTGTATCTTTCTTTACTGGTCAAGATCCTGAAAATGGGTAAGATTTTTTCCAGTCAGAGGGTACATAAGGATAATTTCAAGAAACCTGCCTATCAGAGTAAGGTAGAATAGAAATCCATACAAGAATACTCCTCCTCTGCAAAGCTGGATTTGAAGGAATCCAGGTAATCCTGTCACCTTGCCTAACATCTGAAGCAGTGTGGAATGTTCTAGTATCTCTTTGTCATGTTATTTTAGGGCTTCTGTGTTCTCATTCTCTCTGGTTTTACTTCCTTGGATATGAGCTGAAGCCACCATGGTGATATCTTTGTAACTCTCATTTTCTCTTAATTGGAAGGACTGCATTTGAGATGCATGATATTGTTACTTTAAGAAATTATCCATACTTCTATCGAAACCACTTAAGTGCCAAAACTGAGGGTTCTTTTATCTTGTCCAGGGCAATCCTGGTTTCCCTGGAACTTCGGGTCAGAAAGGTGACATGGGACCTCCTGGAATTCCAGGTCCCCAAGGTAGGAGAAAAAGTGATTATTTTCCTCTGGTTTTGTGCCCCAGAAAGAGGAAATACTGTCCTTATTGTTAATATTGTGTTTCCAAATCATTTGGAGGGGAAACCACTGCTCTGACTTCACCAGAAATGGACCAGCACTGTTCCAATCATGGAAGTATTCCAAGCCTGAAATGGCTTCAGACAGGACCCTTCAACACTTCTGCTACATCCACAGCAACATCAGAACAACAGGCAGAACATTTCAAATTTGGAACATTTTAAATCCCCTATTTGAAGTCATGATACATTTTTGTTTGAAATCTATGTACTAAGACAAATGTAGCAATTGTTGTGGCTGTGAGGGATGAAATGCCACATACTGTTTCTCAGGCCTTCATCGTACTAGTTAGGGGAAAAAAAGCTTTTCCCCTCTTACCTTAAGCAAATAAGAAGGAAGCCAGTGTGGAGAGGATTAAAAAGAATGAATACTTGCAGTTCATAAAAGTGAATAAAGAAAAAGCACAAAGTATTGGGTAATAAGGATAAAATCAGTGGGACTGAGTTCATATCATTTGGTATGTTGGGAAGAAGAATTAAAAATAGATAAATAAGGAGCTTCACATAGTAACAATGAAGATTTCCTTTCTTTCCAGGTCTAAAAGGTTCTTCAGGTTTCCCTGGATCCAAAGGAATACAAGGTGACCACGGGTTTCCTGGAGCTAAAGGTACATGATGGCATTTTTTATTTCAGATTTGATCATTTTGAAAAGAATTGTGTTACTGACAAAGAGCTGAAATATTTTGGTGAAATCCACCCAATCTCTTCTTTATATCCAAGTCTCATGGAAGATGTCCTGCTGGCCCATTTATTTATTTACCATATTTGTATAGCCACCCATCTCACAAGAAAGTGACTCCGGGTGACGTACAACACTAAATTAAAAAGAAAACCAGTAAATGCATATAAAACAGTCATGATTAAAACTATAAAAAAGCACACAGAACAAGAGAGGATGATGTTAACCACAGTAAGGGAGCCATGGTGACGTACAACACTAAATTAAAAAGAAAACCAGTAAATGCATATAAAACAGTCATGATTAAAACTATAAAAAAGCACACAGAACAAGAGAGGATGATGTTAACCACAGTAAGGGAGCCATCACAAAATCTATCCAGTCCCCTGGGAGCCCCAGGCCTGATCACATAGCCAGGTCTTGAGGGACTTGCAGAATGTTAAGAAGGATGGAGCTAATCTCACTTATGGGCGGAGAAGATTCCACAAGGCATGCGCCACAGCAAAGAAGGCCCACCTCCTGGGACCTGCCAAATGTAACATGACAGACAGGACCCACAGCATGCTTTCTCTGCCAGACCTGATGGGATGGGCAGATGTAACTGGGGAGAGGCGGTCCCTCAAATAACCTGGCCCCATGCCATGAAGAGCTTTAAAGGTCAAAACCAGCACCTTGAATTGGACCTGGAAGCAAACTGGCAACCAATGCAGCTCGTGGAGCAGAGGTGCAACATGTACCCTTATAGAGGCGTACATAACTGCCCATGCCACTGCA